TTTAAGTTGGATATTAAATGTATTTTTTTTGTCCATTTACAAATAGGGGATTTGTGGACACATTAAATAATTTAAATTTGTACAATGATAATTACTTTTCTTAAATTCTGGAGTGAAAAAAAGTTAACACCTTATCGTAACATGCACCCCTCAGAATTGAGGTATAAAGGCTGGTGTTTTTATTATTTACTTGAATCATTGTAGCTATTTATGGAGTTGTTTTTTAATTGTTCGATCAATTAGAGAAACATTTCAAGCATCTTCAAAATATCAATCGTATCATTGCAACCAATTGGCCAGTCATTCAATCTGAATTCATAATATTGCTATGACATCCTTCAAATAAGAAAAGATCATATAAAGTGTTCAGATGGATCTCTATGACTGGGATTCTGACCATTTTCATTTGTCTGTCATTATTCAATTATATTTATTTAAATGTATTGTATTGTATATATTGTATATATTCAATATTGTCTATGTTAAAGTATTTACATAGACAAATAGATTCATATTTTACATAAATTACCCCATTTAAATAAACCATGAAAAAGACAGATGTAATAAGCCTACAAATTCTGCAACTGGGACAAGTTTACCCCTAAATTAGATATTTATTTATCTTAATAATATACTAATGACGCATCATCATCATCCTGTTCCAATTTTTGATGCATGTATAATGATGTATAGACAAGAAATCATGTCAAGGATTAAATTATGTATTTGCATTGAGGTTTATTTGAAAATACAGGCCAGTATTATTTAGGAAAAGGATCTTATTATATGTCACTGTGGTGTGAGAGTTTCTGATTATTAATTACTATTTTTAGGGTTGTAAAAATAATATTTAGTCCACCCATCATCCAGAGTGTTAGGAATGTATTCTCATTCCCAAGCCAAATATCCCAACGTCCGGCTATGAGGGTCATGTTTGCCCTGGCATGATCCTCACCCTCTCACTCAGTTTTTCTCTCATTCTCTCCCTCATGTTCTCCTCAGTGACCTTTAATCTAGACTTCTATTTTGTGTCAAGGCCTGTTCTCTCCATTCCCAGTGTGCTGCTGCATTATATCTCTGCTGCTCAGGAGCCCATTCCACAGTAAAAGCTGTAAAAGACTGCCGACAATGAAGATGACGTTGTGCAGCTCAGAAGAACAGTGTTTGGAGAGAAGCTTACCCAATCAGAGGCAAACACGTCTCATATATCCACATAAACATCCAAATGACAGAGAACACACATGCACTTCCTATTAACCTAGTCGCAGCGCTGAAACACATGCTGCAGACAAAGCGAGCCCTGTGATTTCAGTATATTTATTGGATTTGGCTTGTCTGTCATCATACATTTCGAGCACGTTCTGCCAAGATGTGTTACTTAGTTCAACTCATATTTCATGTTTTCATCCAGGAAATCAAGATGAATGAATCTGCTGTTGACAGTGTCCCAGTTTTGGTGTATAAAGTTAACAAGGTATTGTGGTTTGGATTTGTTGCTGTTGTTTGGTATTTAATGTTACATTACTTTCTATATTTATTATGCACTAAATGTACAATTTCAAATGAACATTCTTTTTCACTCACTCGTTAAGACTCCCAACTCGTACAGAATGGACACTTGGACATGACCACTTGGTGTCAATTTGTAACGCACAGGGTACCTTTAGCATTTTTTTTTTTGACGTGCAGGGTACTCCATTGCTTTCAGTAGAAATTATTTTTATAAACATTTTTTCTTTCATAAATATTTTGGAGCACCTATAACCCCACCGCTACCCTAAACCTAACCATTTCTCAACAATATAAAACACGTAACATGCAAATAAGAGTACAGTCATAGGTATAAAACTGACCAAAAAACAGTATTGCAAACAACTCGGATTGCATTCCAAGTCTTCTGAAGCCACACAATCTCTTCATGTGAAGAACAGAGTGGAAGTTAAGGAACTCATGCTGTGTTCCATTTACTTTGGAAGAAGGATGTCCGAGCTGGGAATGACATCACACTCGAGTTGACCACGTTCCAGTACATAGGTTGAAATTCTAAGATGTACACATCCAAGCAAACTTTTTTTGTGCTTGCCCTATTTGAATTCAAAGCGGTAATTTGCAAGGATTATGCCTAAGTATCATGTCCACAAATATAGTTGGGATAGTACTATTTATTTAGGTTATTGAGACAGACAAACAGAAGTGCTAATAAACAATATACTGTTTCACTACGGTTGATGCGCTGAGCAGCCATATTGGATTCCCATTCACAACTCCTACTTGAGGGGGCATTCCTACTGGGAACTAGAAATTTCCAACTTCCAAAGATAAATGGAACACACTATGAATCGCTGAAAATGATCCTGCTCTGTGAACGAATACACAATGCAGTCATATCTCATTCAAAAGATATACCCGAACTTTAGCATGACACAATTGGTCAAGAGTGTCAGGTTCCTGCCCTGGCAGTCTTGTCCGTCTTGTCACGGTTTAATGTTTCATTGTTTGTTTTGTGCCTGAGCACATGGCTCTGTCTTTGTTTATGTTGGCCATGCGCCTCCTCATTTCCAGTTACCACGCCCCCTTGTCTAGTCCACGTCTAGTCCTCGTTTCACTAATTGTGCTCACCTGATCCTCATGTGATCTGGTCCCTTTATATTGTGCCTATTTCCCTCATGTCTTTGCTGGTTCGTTTTGTGTCCTGTGGTGTGTTTCTGTTCGCTTGCCTGTGTCTGCATTTATCTCTGCTCTTGTTCCAGTAAAGTGTTTGATTAGTTCTAGTGTATCCTTGTTGCTATTTTGTTTTGTTTTTATCTTTTGAATTTGAGTTAAATTTTAGGTGTGCACAGGATCTGAAGGTACATTCATGCCATGTTGGAATTACTGTAATTTTGAGATTCTGACTTATAAAAAGCATTTATGTCCATGTAGAACTTGTGATTACAACTTGTAAAACTCTGAATTTTCTAAGCGCTCTGACTTGTACCACCTCACTGCTGCAAAGTCATTTTGCTGTTAATAGTGTTGCCATAGAACTGCATTATTCTGAGTTTGAAGAATCGAACAGCTCCGAGTAGAATGTTGACATTTCGTAATTCTGACATAGCATGAACGGCATGAGCTTTATGATGGAAGGAGACGTTGATCGCTTTTGGCTCTATTCCTCACACAAATCAATCGTTTGGCCTCAGAACACATGGGATATTTGTACTCTTTGAAAAAATTGTGACTGTAGTTGTATCTGCCAGTTATATCATGTGTTTTATATTATAGGATATACAAATGGGTTATACCCCAATATATAATTCCATCATGATGTTAAAATTCCAATGCCCCATCATGTCTGTATTGAAAAGGTTTCAAAATGTTTCTCATTGAAAACAATGGTGACCTGCATGTCATAAATTTGTCATAAAAACCCTGTGACATCAAGAAGTCCTGACCAAGAGTCCATATGTGATGTGAGTGGGAAAAAGATCATAAAAGCTCCTAAAAGTATAGTTTATACGACTCTTTTGAAGCCGTATAATGGCATCATAGGCTAATTGGAAAAATGAGCTTATACCTACATTTTTGCAAAACTCCAAAAACATACCTACTGCATACATACAATCCCTGCAGTTTCCAGCTGAAATGACTATTAGTGGCAGTAAGACACCAACAACTTTTATTGCTTTTTTGATTATTATTACAGGGGCATATTATATATCTAATTCAATCATAAAACTGTAGATGGTGTAGGCTGATAGATCCTTTACATGCAATCTGCCAGCAATCACATTATATACACGACACAAGCTGATTGGCCACTGCTGATTCTGCGGCCAATGAGATTGCTTAATCAACATTTAAAATAGTCTGGTTCAGTGGAAATAATGGGTGCTATATTCATGGTTAGAGGAAACAGAGAAAGGGACTGTGGTGTTCCCTTTTTCCTAAAAAGGTAGGGAAACTCGATCCGACTGTCCGTGGGCAGTGCTAGAGGACAAATGCAGAAGTACGAACTATAGTTTGAACAAAAGCCATGGAGCTGCCAAAAGACGTCATCTGGTGGACTTTAGATGAAAATTAAACCGGGAGATCTGAGTGTAGGTAACATGTGGTAAGAGGACACGTCATTTACATATACTACATTGCAACAAAGCTGGTTGAAATTAGACAAATATGACCTTTAAGGTTTGGAGAGATACGTAAATGACAGAATTTTATTTTGGGCCAACTATTCATGTCATATTGCTCCTGCAAACCTATAACTTTTGATTCATTAATTTAGGATGAGCCTAAAATGATCTGTATGGCTAATTAAAACTCCTTTATTGGGTAAATGTAAATGGTCCTGTGTTTTCTTGCAACGCAAAGTATGCAGAAAATAACAGGATAATGTGTGCCTATTTAGAACATTTTTGTCTTTCATCAGAAATAAACCATAAATCATACGCCATAATGTAAATATATTTCAACTCTTATGTTCGTCACCATGAAAAAAGAGAAAAAGAGAGCGAACAAATGACGCAAACCATCCGTTCCGTTATCTTTGCACATAGGGCCTATTTTAGAAAAGATAAAGTTAAAATTTTGCTATCACTAATTTGATAACTTTAGTCTCAGGCAATGCTTTAAAATACATCAGCTAATGAGGTCCATATATTGAGTACAATGAACAGGACATTGACCTGCTGACATATTTTTTTAGTCCTATTTTTAGTCTCTGAACTCTTTCAAAAAGTAAGATATTCTTAAATGCAGTTATTTTGAGTCATTTCAGTCTTATTTGATTAGACCTCCAGGCATTGAGGCAAAATATTTACTAATAAACTGTGGAGTTTCAGTGTGGATATAGTACAGTAGTTTTAAATCATGATATGGTGCAGAAGAAAAATCATGTAAGCATAAACAAAAAAAAATATTTTTATTGTACTGCCAAGTAGGCTACATAACCTTTGGTATAAAAGAACTTCCTCTTCAACATGGGGGAAATGCCCTGACTTGAGCACAAAATGAAAGTACACTACATAGAAACATCAATTCACTTTTATCAAAAGAAACATTTACACATCATATACAAACATCTAAATTAGAGTTTTGAAGGTCTGTTTCTATCCCTCAAGTTCTCAAGTGGATGAAATAAATGACTGTGATTTTGAAGTATGGGAGAATAAAACAGATTGATGAGCTAATTAAAGTTAGTCCGTGGTGAAGTTAGTTCAAACTGAGTCATTTTGACCCATAGTCTACAACTGATTGTAATTAGTCCTTCGTGTAATTTATTTTTAAATTAGCCCTGTTATAATGTGATATATTTACTGTATATTCTGCAGCCATAGTCAAAACTAGACTCTAATTCTGCATCTTAATATCACCTTAAAGACAACATGAAACGGAATGAGTAATGCATTCCTTCAGTAAATGTCTATATTGTGGAAAACATATAGCTGAATGTCCTTCAGGGTTTGATCATGAAAAGTAGATAAATACAATTAGTTAATATTATTTTTCACAGGCTTGCAGCAGAAAAAAAAGTGGTTACAGAGGTAAAGAAAGTAAAAAGACATTTTAATGAAAACAACCAGTTTTTCCTTGAGAATAACATGCATGATGAATCTTGCACAATAAGACCAGGGACATTTATTCAGAAAGCAAACAGTCCATTTTGATTTCATGTTGTGTTTAAGGGGAGTGTAGTGTAAATGTCTTTGGTCTGGATCCAGATGTCCTAAGCTGAGAAGCTGGAGGTCTTGTAGGGTAGCAGGTTGTGGAGGGGAGCGAAGGGAGGAGGGTTGGGCTGTACACGGGATGTATCTGATGATCCTCCTGGAGATGCACTAGATCCTGCTGCTGCAGGGACTGCTGGAGAAGCATAAAGTGATGCCCTCTGGAAGAAATATGGAGAAAATACATTTCTTCAAGGTGAAACTAATCGTCTTTTCAGCTTTTATTATTCAGTTTACAGCTCCAAAAGATTGGATGAAGTGAAATGTGCAGAGAACAGTTTGTATCAGCTATGTATTTCAGTGAGCCCAGAATAGAAACATTGGGTTAAATGGTTCATTATCTAATTTAAATTTCATTATCAGTACTGAATAAAAAAATATATTGACAATAAGTCCAGATTCTGGAATTTCAGGGAAAAATAAGATGTTGTCTAGGTGGGCTGCTCATTCACATTTAAAAAGAAAGTTTCCAATAGTTTCCCAATGTGAACAGTTCTTAAAACAACCATTTTTTTCTTAGTTTGAAGAAGAATTTAATCATCTAAAGTACCTTTTCCCCCATTATAAATAGCCTTTTGTGCAGTGGAGAGATTTCAATGTTAAAGGGGTCATATTAGGGTCTTTATTGTGTAATGTTGCTGACAAAGCACAAAGTCACTCCAAAGTGAGTTATTCTCTACATCGGTGTCACTGTTTCTGAACTCCCTGAAACACCGCCATTGTAGTCTTGAGTTTTCTTCCGGGAACAAACACATCACAGTATTCCTCATTTAAATAATTCCCGTCCAAGGCATACACAAAAAAAGTTGTGTTAGTAGTGTGTTGAAACTCGAGGTTATGGTAACATTTCCATAACAAGCTCGAAGCGGTTGACCAATCACAACAAACTTGAACAACGAACAAAGCTGACCAATCAGGGCACATTGCACTTTTCTGAAAGAGGTGCTTCATAGATTAGAGACCGGAACTAAACAGAGCGTTACTGACAGACTTGGAAGAGAGGTGCTGCATACGTGTAAAATATGTGAAAAATAATGTGGTTTTTGAACATTCAAGCATGAAAACCTATTCTAGTAGACACCAAATACAAAATCAAGACTTTGTAAGAGGCATGATATTGCCTCTTTAAAGGTGCTTCAGTGAACCATACAGTAGATGCCAATAAAGAACCTTTATTTATAAGAGTGTTGTATAATGTTCATATGGCTTGTTCATGATGAACAATCATGTCGTAATGGCACAAACATGGATCCCGCGGTCCAATGGCTGTTTGTTTATCTATACTGATTTCCTCAGTGACCATTTTCTGTTTTAACTTAGTAAGCCATATTATACTATTTTCTTAAAGCTGCAGTCCGCTGTTTTTCCTCTTTGTCGCCATCTCTGTTCGAAATCTGCAATTGCAGTCATTCGCGGAATTATCAACTTTATGTGAGTTGTACTTCGACACCGCCGCACAGCGCGGATGAACAATGTTTGAGGAGAGTGTGAGGCTGTCAATCACCGCGCCGGTGTGGATACTGGCATTCAGAATCACAGATTATTCTTTTTGGAAGTATGACCAACATAAGAATTTTCACCGGAAAATGTCATCTGAACAAGTAAGTAACATCCACTTTTGTTCTGGTTCTGACATTGCAGTAAATCACGATGATTAAATCTAAAAATCGCCTATCATATCACGCAAAACCGTGCAAATTATACTTTGTTCTCAAATTGTTAATGTTGACAACGTCAGCATTGCGTGACTACATGTAACGTCCTTCCGATATCATCCTTGTTTTCGCATGGGTCCGGTTGAAGTCTCTTCTTTTCTGTAGCCACTCCGAAGTCCGAATGAAGTCTTTTCCATTTTACAGCGGGTGAATCTCTAGTTGTCACTGGTGATTGCCGTTTGAACCTTTCGGGATCCGCTATCAAATGAATAAGTTTAATTATATCAAGTGCTGTGAGAAAAGGCTATAAATCTTCACCGCCGACATCCTCACACGCAATATAGCCTACTACCCGAGATTCCTTCATGTGTACAGATGTGACGTAATGACGCAAAGACATGCTCGAATTTCCCGCAGTAATCCACCAGTACCACTGGAGTGAAAAACATTATTACAAGCTTACCGTTTTGAATCGAGCTACGGCAAGCAGATAGTTTTGAACACTGGCTGGTTATGTATTTTCTCAAATATATATTTTGAATCATTTTTAACCCCCAAAAAAGCTACGGACTGCAGCTTTAACTTATTTGTTGTGTTCATGATGAACATACCTAATATATTATGCTTAGCAATGTGTGTTTAAGTTGGCCAGAGGAACTTTTTGCGGTGATGCTTCCAAGAGCAACTCCAGATCACTCAACAGGGGTGAGGGTGCTGGGAGATCCATGATCTGGGATTGGTTGGACTTCTGGCTGGCGTTCTCAGCAGGGCAGGGGTGTGATCAGGACAAGCCCAAGGATCAGTGTACTTAGGCACAGTTTTATAAGGGAATGCTGTGGGATTTTGGACTGGGATCAATCTGTGAGTATGCATCGCATCACCAGGGGATTTGATAGGGACTCTCACACTAATTTCACGGTGCACAAAAAGTCTGCAGATTGAACTCCGCAACTGAATCATACCATAAAAGACCATGAGCGGAATCTGTGTGTGTGTGAGTGTGATGAACTGACCGGGTAGAGCTGGTGTCCTGTGTGTGTGGGGTCCATTAGCAGGGGTGCAGTGGGGGATGAACAGTTGGCCCCATCAAAGGAGAATAGAGATGAACCTCTCCACTGGGACACATCAAGACCGACCACCCCACTCCTCTGGCGAAAAGAAAAAAAAAGTGTAAGCATCATATCTGGTTGCCGTATGCAATTTCAATAGAATATTTATCCAAACAGTTTCTTAATTGGCCCAGAAAGTATAGTTTACTTCTGCATTCCAATCCAAGAATTATGGAAAGGGCCCATTGTTTATTCGTATATTTATGTTGAGCAGGGAGATTATGTGTATAGGAGCCAATAAAATCATGTTTTAATTTGATTTAAATGCATGAACACAATCTGTTTTGATCCTGCACTGCAAAACATTATTTTCCTACTCAGTATTTTTGTCTTGGTTTCCTTTAAAACTATCTTAACATTCCTGAGAAGAAAAATTACTTAAGATTTTGAAACTGATCAACATTAAGCGAGTTTAGGTTTAAGACAACAAAAGTGGGGTCAGAAAAATAAACTTAATTTTAAGGGAAAATAAGTTTATTTTGCTTACCTCATTGGCAGATATTTGTTTCTTGTTTTAAGCATAAAGTCAAGTTTGATACAAAACAACACTTACTGTGTAAATACTGAGGAAGAAAATATTTTTTTACAGTTTTTGATTGAAGTGATTATGCAGGTCTTAAGTTTTGAAACGTCTTAAAAAAGTATTTAAAAGTAATAAAGTTATTAAAAGTATTAAATTGAAGAGAAGACACACATCAGCATGAAAATAGCCCATTATATGCAGTATTTTAAGCTTTCATAAATCCTCATTGTGACTTTTTATGCATGTAAGCCATAGTCATGGCCAGAATTATTGACACCCTTGGTAAATATGATCAAAGTGGCTGTAAAAATAAATCTGCATTGTTTATCCTTTTGATCTTTCATTACATTTTTATTTTGCAAAAATCTAACTTTTCATTGAAGTAAAATAATTGAAAGTGGGGAGAAAATCACATTATGAAATGGTTTTCTCCAAAACATGTTGGTGTCACGGTGGGTAGTGGAGATTGGAAAAGAGGACTCAGGTGCGGAGTGAATTGAAGAGTATTTAATAAGACAAAAACATAAAATGAACAAACCAACAAAAGAAAACCAAGGTCTCAGTAACTAAATCCAAAACAGACACGGCAAGGCAGGAATGGGCACAGAACTCAACATGACGAACACGCGTAACAAATACAACGAACGAGCACAGGACAGCAAACACAGGAAGACTAAATAGGGAGGCAAACAATGAGGGTAACGAGGCTGACAGGTGGAGCAAATAAACCAATAATCAGATAACAAGGGGGAGGGATCAAACAATGACAAGAGCACATGGCTCAAAATAACAAAACACCCATGTGCATCACAAGACAGGACAGACATGTGACAGTTGGCCACAATTATTGGCACCAATATTTTATGAGTACAATATCTCTGAAGTATATTCCCATTCATATTTACAGTTTTAACACACCATAACCAGGAACTTGAAATTGTCTAGCCATGACTTGTTGTTTCACAGGAGTATAAATATTAGGCCAAATTCCCTTAATCATCCATCCCAATGAGTAAAACCAAAAAATATAGTTCTGATTTCCATTTCCATTCCATTTCCACCATCAGGGCAAAAATTAAGAAGTTCCAATCAACTAAAGATGTAACAAATCTGCCTGGAAGAGGACATGTGTCTACTGTCTATAATATCATCCTAATGCACGGTGAGGAGTACAGTTTGAGTGGCCAAAGACTCTCCAAGGATCACAGCTGGAGAACTTCAGGGGATTAGTTGAGTCTTGGGGCCAGAAAGCCTAAAAAAATTCAAACAGCCCCTACATCAGCACAAGTTTTTTTGGGAGGGTTTCAAGAAAAATCCTCCTCACTCATCTAAAAACAACTCCAGCATACACAGTTGTCAGACATATAAAAAATCATTTTTGCCAGCAAACACACTAGATTGGTTTGGTGCAAACAGGGATAAAAAAAAAGAAGAACCTCATGCCCACGGTTAAATATACTGCTGGATCTTTAATGTTGTGGGCCTATTTTTCTGCCGGAGGTCCTGGACTTCTTGTTCTGATACATGGCATCATGGATTCTACCGTGCCAGCAGCCAAATCACCCTGTAGCTCAAGACTGGTTGCTCACTGAAGCTAATTAGGGTTGACCCTGGTCAGTACCTAAATGGGAGACCTCCTGGGAAAACTAGGTTGCTGCTGAAAGAGGTGTTAGTGAGGCCAGCAGGGGGCGCTCACCCTGTGGTCTGTGTGGGTCCTAACGCCTCAGTATAGTGATGGGGACACTATACTGTCAAAAAGAACCGTCGTTTCGGATGAGACGTTAAACCGAGGTCCTGACTCTTTGTGGTCATTCAAAATCCCAGGATGTCCTTGGAAAAAAAGTAGGGGTTTAACCCCCGGCATCCTGGCCAAGTTTGCCCATTGGCCTCTATCCATCAAAATCGCCTCCTAATCATCCCCATATAAACAATGATTGGCTGTATCATTCTGTCTCCTCTCCACCAATAAGCTGGTGTGTGGTGGGCGTTCTCAAGTCAAGTCACCTTCATTTACATAGCGCTTTTAACAATATAGATTCGTTCAAAGCAGCTTTACAGTGATAATAGGAAATTAAAGTAACAGATTGTTTTGGCTTTACAGCAGCTCTAGAATAATGTTATTGTCCAGCTAAAGTTAGTTTTGATTGATTCACTTACGTTGCAAAGATCATTAGTTATTAACTTAGGGGCCGCTTACACAACACCGTTTTAACAGAAAACCCCTAACGCGCTCCGGCCCCCTCATCCGCAAAACAACAGTGCCTGGTGGCTCAAGAACGCAACCCTAACCCTAACCCTAACCCTGAAATAGGTTCCAAGGTGCAAGCGTTGACATTTTTTAAAAAACTTTATCATCTCCGCGTAAACTTCAAAAACTCGAATCTGTGAAAACGCTGCACATGCGTATTAAGTGTTTAATCTATTGTTATATGCGTTTTAATATATATGTGCGCAGTAGGGGTGTAACGGTATTTGAACCGAACCGAAAAACCGCGATACACCACCCACGATACGTATCGCGATACTCTCATGGCGAACCGAACACGCCCCGCCCCCTGCGGCCCCGCCCAGCCCCGGCTCATTGCACCTCATGTGTTATGTGTACACAACGAATACAGGGCTGTTGCCTAACCACCATTAACCACATATAATCGCAATAAGCTCAGTGTTTTGTTACTTTTGATAATAAGCAAGGTGTAATCTTTCAAATTATGTCTATTTGATCACGAAATGTAAACAATAAATGCCGTTTTGGCGCTCTTAGATGTGGCGTGACAGATATCACTGTATGCATGCGGCAGCGCGGCGCGCGATCATCTCTTCCTCAGTTACAGAATAAACATGAATGGACACCAGAAGGTATGTTGAAAGATACAGTATACTTACTGAAAGGCATCATAACTCGTGTAAACACTCAATCAGTGTTTCAACAGCGGAAATACGTCAATAAAACGCTTAGTTTTTCACTTAGCTTTATATTTACCTCAGGCAAGTTATTCAGTGTCCACAGCTTGCTGGTTTGCTAACTCTTTCACTAAATAAATGCTATATATTAGCCTATATATTATATTTTACTTAACCTGTTTTTGATATCTTGATTATTTAATGTATGTTTAAAATAGTTGTCATGAAAATAACAGCAACTGTGTAAATTATTATACAACAATAACAAATTAGAGTAAAAACATGTTAATGCAAAAATTGCCTTATGTGCAGTTTACATGTTTTCATACAATGTTATTTGAGTGTTGATTATTATTATATCATTTAGGCTAAAAGTCTAGGCTTGTTAAGCTTTAATGTTATAGTAATGTGCAAGTAAGGGCTGTAGTTTACAGCATTAGCAGATAATTTTGTTATCCTTGAGAAACGTTTACTTGTAATTTAATTGATTTAAAGACAAGGACACAATTTGTTCATTAAAGCACTGTTTAATAAAAAATAAAAGCAATTTTAGCTTTCTAAACCCCCCCACCCCACCGAAATGAACCGAACCGAACCGAACCGAACCGAGACCTCAAAACCGTGGGACGAACCGAACCGTCAGGTTTGTGTATCGTTACACCCCTAGTGCGCAGGGGTTTAGTCTTTCTTTACAAATTGACCTCAACAAATTACTTGTCTGGCCTTAAATATTCATAATACAGACTTTTTTGCTGCTTCCGCGTATCCATGTGAACTGGAATCATTTTGACAAGGTTTTATCTGTACGAGGTAAAGGAAAGGGAAGCAGGCCTTCAGAGAGACTAATTGACATTTCGGGACTACGTTGTCGTCATGTTCAGGAGCATGTCCTTTATCAGATCCGGATACTGCCTGGATCCGGCGGACTGCGGTAAACCTCGGGATATCAGAGATACTAATATTAGCATAGACGCCATCCTTCTTATGATGTAACGAGTACATCAGGATTTACTGGAAGTGTTCCTAATCTATGCAGCCTAACATTGCATTATAGAAGTCTATAATATGTTATGTGTATGCTACAGTAGGTCAAAAAGATGTGTTTTAGTCTAGATTTAAATTAGATTTTAAATCTAGTTTAGACACAAAAATTAGTCACTGAACACAAAATTAAGCTTCTGCCATGGCCATCCCAATCCCCTGACCTGAACCCTATAGAAAATGAGTGGGGGTGAAATGAAAGCTTTAGCTTAAGTTCTGCCGGGAAGACTCAATCGTTACGTCACTTATTACCTTCTCATCTATCCAATCGTGTTCTAATACTTGTAGTATAAAAGATCGGTACTTACACACATCTGAGTTTGTAGATGCTGATGCTTTCATTCACCTCCATCCTCCCCACCACCACCAAGATGATTCCTTCCTCTCCATCCTCCCCACCACCACCAGGGTGGTCCCTTACCATACCTCCCAGGGGGTCGGCTGCGCCCCTGCCTTCGTCTTCAGGCAGGAAATGCAGATTCCGTACCCTCGAATTGCGAGCTACAGGCGGGGCCTATGCCAAAGAACTTTATATCATAATATTTGCTTGCTGGGCTGTTATGTATACTGG